ATGCGGTTCCCATGCAGGATAGAGGTCGCAGTTAATGTCTAAACCGGGTTAAAGCTACTCTCAGCTCGGCTTTGACCCGGCAGAGGGCCGGGGGCGGAGGGGTGAGCCTGCGGTCAGCCTGTCTAAGATGAAAAAGTGAAACGACCCCAGAAAGAAAAGCCACATCTGAATGGCTTTATATCACAGATCCAACTCAGGACCAGAGTCGACTTGATCTAAAAATGAAGGCATGAGGCTGTTTGCACTGGGCTTATGAGCTGTTTGTGCGTGGTCTGCATGCACATTACAAATAAAGTAAAAACGACGCCCATACAGCTGGAATGTCGAGAGACAATTTCTCCTGAATATAGGCTAAGTAGTTAGGAGCTGGCGGTAATCAATACTCCAGCCAATAGCTGGCTATACTGATTAAATCGGTGCTGCATCAGTGAAGGATGGAGGTAAAAATGAATTTCTGCTAAGCCCATTTGTTACAATGAAATCGATCGACTATATTTCATTAATGACCGCAGTCTTCTCACACGTTAACCCTTTGATTTCGGAGCAGCATTTGCCTTTGCACAACAATAATCTATCTGCAGAGACAGAGAGGGAGAAGCCCGTGGAACAATGGGCTGGCGACTCCCGCAGGCCGCGTGAACTCTGGATGGTCCCCAGCTCGGGCCCCTGCGTGGCCCTGTCCAGTTCCAGGACTAATGAAACGGTGAACCAGCGGTCAACGATTCTGATTGACCCTCGGACGACCTGACGGCAGCTAGGCTACATTCCCGAAGAAGAATGCTCTTTCAAAAACCGAAACATCGCTCCGTTGTTGGTGTTGCCTCTAAAAGGAGTCCGCCACAGTTCAGAGCCAGAGCCCTATTCAAAAGGTGTGAGCTAATGACTCCAGGACCAAACCTCTTTTTAGCAGAAGAATTTAGGTTAGATTAATTGTGAAAAATGAAAGTTTTAGGCCAACGTCCTTTATACTAACGGCATGGATTAATAGTCTTAAACTGAATGGATTTTTGACTGTTTGGTTGAATAATGAAGCTGCAGAAAGGTGCTCCAAACGCTGCAGCTTCATTATTCAACCAAACCAGTGTGAATGGTTACGAATCAGTGAAGCCCACTTTGACTCTCTTGTCTTTGCCTTTCCCAGTGTTTAATGTGAAACCAGACGTTTTGTTGTTCTTCTCACTCCATGAAAACTAAGCATTTTGATTAGGTTCAGAACAGAGTTTTCACCAGATGCAGGGGAATTTGGCCAATGTAAACAGTAAAACGTGTGTCTGCCAGAGCAGGAGACTGCTCATGGCAAGAAACAGAAGATCTTTGTGGAGTCTTCACCAAAACATGCACAACACTTCTTATGTTATTTGTTGCAAGTAAATGTCACCAATCTTCTTAATGATGCAGTGTGAATAAAGACAAGATGTGTGGGAATGGAAGACATAAGGGGAGCGTTGCCTTCAGTGGGGCAATAGAGCTGGACACAAAAAACCCCCCAAAGCATTATATTATCATTCATTTAATATGTACCCCAGAAAAACCAGTGCACAAAGAGATAATAACAATGTCTGTGCTATCAGTGATAACACCAGTGAAACCGTCTTTCATTGCTGATTGCCTGATAATAATGTAACTCCAACATCCCTGCATGTAATCTGTGATGCTGAACTAAAGCAGCATCTTAACAAGAAATGAACATTTGCCCTCAGAGCCATGTTCTGTCAAGCACCATGGACTTTAGTCCAATCTGTTTTAGTCACCATTCAAAAGCTGGTCACACTTACACTGACAGCTTGTTCACCAGCCACTTTGGCAAGTGAGCAACCATCATTTGGCAGATCTGTTCTAGCTGGGGAAACTGTGAAGTGCAGTGGCCTGTAAACCAGTTTAATTGTTATCAAATGTTTTAAACTACAAAATATAAATAAAAGACTTGATACACCTGTAAAATCTAATGCAATCAATACAGAACAGACAAAAATTCTACCTCTACAAAAACAATAAAGTGCAGTTTGGCCTGACGCTGACAGAGTAGTGAGCGAACTATGTTTATTGCTGAGATAGTAGTTTTCAGTGGCTTTGAACTCTGCTACATTAGTGACCCCACTTACAGGCACGAGGAGGGAAGAACAGCAACACACTTCTTTATAATACAGTCCAATACAACACCACCGCTAACTTCAACCTCAATAATAAACATATAGTTGAATTAATTGCTCTCAGAAAACGTCAGCAACATAGAGTCTTCAAAAATAACCAATATGTGCACGGTTGGAATGGATTGCATTAGATGTTATAGGTCTATAAAGTGACTACAATGTGTTCAGCGACACAGCTGTAAGTACTTAGCATCAAGGTAGAGCACTAATTAAAATGCTCCTGCAGTGATGTGCTAATGGTGTATTAGCACGTTCAAACATCAGTACGTGATTTCTGACATTTTGGTGCAGAGTAATTATTACTAACAAACAAGGCTCTAGGATGAGGTGGCTGCCACTGGTGGTAATGCTGCCGTTCATCAAATATTTTAATTTGATCTTCTTCTTTGGCCCTTCATGTGCCACACCATGTGCCGTTTGTGACGTCCCCTGCTGTAAGTCACGTTTCCCAACTCATTATATCTAGCTCTGCCACAGTGCACTGTTGAGGCTGATGATGGTTTTGCTTGCTTACAATACATATGCATCATAATTAATGTGGAATGCCCATAATGAGCTATTGATGTTAAGAAGCTACATGCTACAGCACCAGTAATAGTTTCAATAAATTATGCAATGACACTGATACATGGCGCTGAACAACAAGAACATGCACATCTTAAAAGTACCGTACCTACGTCTAAGCAGAGCAGAAATATAAATGCCTTCTATGAAAACAAACTCTCTGAGTGAGGGCACATGGGTGTAAATCTCTGTCAACAACAAAAAGAAGCCATCAGCAGCCAGCTGTGACGTGAACCTTTGCCTATATATACCCTGTAGAACCGAATGTGTGTGGAGCTGCCTCAGTCACAGATTGGGTTCTAGGGGAGTCTATGGGCGATGACTAACCATCTATCAAAACCCACGGGAGGGAATGAAAAAACGGACGACTCTTTACAGTGCATTTGCTTTGCCAAAGGTACACGCGCCTCTTCGATTCTCTCTCTGACAGTTCCACACTTTCTTACACCTCCAGCTCCAGGGGAAGTTAAGTTATATCATCCTTTTCTGATCACCTGACGGTCCAGGGTTGCTTGCACACTGAGTCACACGGCACATTATGCAGTTAAAGCAGTGGATCCAACTCCCTGTCTGCGCAGTTCGTCTTGTTTAAGTAATTTAAAAATTAAAAACAGCAGATTGATTTCATTGCACAGCTTAAACAGAAAAAAAGCCAAGAACAACAACAACACAAAACCTTGCTCTGGACACTGGTGTGTAAGTAAACCAGACCAAACTGTTATTTAAACCTAGTTGAATGCCTTACAGGGATGAAACATTTACAGCCCATTTCAAAGGCTGGAATAGGTTGTTTTTCTTTTATGAAACTATTTGTGCTCGGTAATTGATTTGGGAAAAAACTGTTGCTCTCAACTGGTGCCTTAACATCACTACTGAAGTTTTAATATAAGCTTTAAGTAGCTGAAAATCCTCCTGTGATGCAAATAAATACAGTAGTAAATAGCACTTCTCCATGGTGTGAGTGCCTGCTCAAGAATACTGCCCTAGAAGAGTTCCATTCTTTGTTTTTCTTGTTAAAAGTCTTTATGACAGAAAGAGAAAAGCTGTTTATACTGACAGCAAACGATTAGATTTATCCACTTTGCTAACTATCTGGTAGCTCTTCAGTGAGTCAGTATGAGCTCTTCTGAATAATGATTCATTAGATCAGACAAATTCAGCCCATATAATCTAGAGTTCACTTGCACTCTCTCAGCCATGCCGAAATCTTTAACCCCATTAAATTCTTCACATGAGCTTCTTTATTGCAGCAGCCAAGCAAAAGCATCTCTTCCTCTTTTTCTTATTATCACAGGCAGTATTAGGCAGAAGTAATACTATATGGGAGGGCTTATTAAGAGGTTCTGGCTGAGCACCAGAGTGCAGCTGAAGAAGAAATCCTAAAGGACATAACACGGATTTATGGTCTTCTCCTCGTGCAAAGATAATTTGTTAGAAGCTGACGTTTGAAGTGTAGCGTTTTTGAGAGAAACACATTTATAAAGCTTCTTCACACACGCAGTACAGGAAGTTGAAGCAGCCTTATTATAAATCTTTCTTTTCATGTGAGGGCTTAAAGCTCATGACCACTCATCTCTTTCACCTTTTTTGATTTTGCATCCAGTATAATTCACCATTTTTTAGCTCTGTCACAATTTTCTCTAGCATCATTTTTTAAGCCAAGCAATGCGTTTTGCCTCTTTTAGAAGCTGTTGGTGGTGAGCGGGACACCTCAAGCTGACCTCGGCCTAACAAAGCCAACTACTAGTCACTGTCTGGGAACCTTTTATCCCATTCTTTTATTGGAGGCCTTTCTGATCGGCCACATTTTGTTGTCCCTCTTTTGACTCACCACAAGGCCAAATATGGGCCCACCGTCCCCCAATATGGGCAAGATTAATTTTTCAGCTCTGGCCATCTGTGTGGGGGTAAAAGTCAGTCACCTAAAAGTCATAAATCTACAGTCCCTGCGTTTTCAATAGGGGCTGTGACTGGGAGGGGGTGGGGAGTGGGCAGATGGACTGACAAGGTTAGATAGATAGATAGATAGATAGATAGATAGATGGATAGATGGATAGATAGATGGATAGATAGATAGATAGATACATAGATTTTAGTCATCATTTCTCATTTCATTAGGCTAAACGCCAACATGTCAGCAGCTCATTGGATCCATATAATTATTTTTTAAGTCCCCAAACATCTATTCTTAACCATTTCCCCCCTGCAGCAAATCTTCATTAGTCCTATAGCCTAATGAACATGTCCCCCCTTCAAATTATCCCATTACGTCTGACATAAACAAACCGGAATGTCGCCTCTCATTGGCTGGCGGCAGGGTCACGTGGTCCGAGCGACCGTCCGTCTATTTGACAGCCGCAGGATGGCTTGATGCCAGAGGGGGAAAAAGAGACAGAGAGAGGGGAGAGAAAGAAAAATTAGTATTCTCCTACTAGCCTCGCTATAAATCAATCATGGAATCCTACGTGGTGAGCTGTAAATATGCTGAGCCGCAGTTCCCGCCTTGTGAAGAAGATTACAGTAATTTTAGTGACCAAGGGGGGTATTACAACAACCCCCAGGACAGTGGTAGTTATGGAGGGGGCTACCAGCCCATGCAGCCCCCTCCGGCTCCATACACACCACAACAAACCGGCTATCAACACTCTTTGCAGGGGCATCACCGGGGAGATGGAGAAGATCAGTCGCAGCAGCAGAGTGAATCCTTCCCCCGCTACACAGAGACAGACGCCCTCGGTAAGGAGAGGTTCTCCATGGGTGACCTGCAGTGCCAGGCCTGGATGACCTGCGGAAAGCCCGCTCAGGTGCAGAGGAAAACGGCCTGCCAAGGCAAAGACAAGCCGCCCATTGTTGTCTACCCGTGGATGAAGAAAGTGCACGTAGCTCATGGTGAGATGGCATTAAGATTTACATCTTTATCTGCAGGCTAGCTACTGGACACTCTCCATTTCATTTCTGCATCATTCCAGTTCGTCCACTTCTTTCCTTTAAGGTTTTGCTGCCAGTTTTCTGTCTGTCTTTCTTTCCATTTGTGAGCACCGCTTTTTGTTGTTGAGTTATTTACGAGCTCAGTGAGAGTCAGGGAGAATTACAACCCCTATAAAGTTTTATGGTCCTGTCACACTGTGTGTGTGTGTGTGTGTGCGCGCAAGACAGAGAGAGGGTGGGGGGAACTGTGTCGTGGGCCTATTTAGTGTGCAACGCTGCAGCTGAACAAAAAGCTGCAAATTAAACGTAAAAATAGTTTCTTGGATCATTTCCCAGTCAAGCACCAATGACCAATGAAAAAAACACCACGTGATAATAAGTGCAATAATATTTATAGTAAATTTGAAAATAATACATTTTAGATCAATTCTGTTTCTTTTATAGGTCAATGTATGCTGTTCTATAGGCTACACTTAAAATAATGAAACTATTATTAATAATTGAAATAAAATTGGTAAAATAAAAGTCGAGAATTAAATAAATACATTTAATTCTCTCTTTTTCTCTTTCCAATTTATTTCCTCAGTAAATCCGAACCACGTGGGCCCGGAGCCGAAGCGGTTGCGCACGGCCTACACGCGCCAGCAGGTCCTGGAGCTCGAGAAGGAGTTCCACTTCAGCCGGTACCTCACGCGCCGTCGCCGGGTCGAGGTGGCGCACGCTCTCTCTCTGTCAGAGCGACAGGTAAAGGTGTGGTTCCAGAACCGGCGCATGCGCTGGAAGAAGGACAACAAGCTGCCCAACACCAAAGGACGGAGCAAAAACAAGAAAGCAACGGACAACAACAACAACAACAACAACAACAACAGCAACAACAACAGCAGCAGCTGCAGCAGCGATAGTAATGCCAAGGCGGTGATAGACTAACTGAAAACCTGATGGTACGAGCAGAGTTTGGCTTCAGAGGCAGCCATGTTAGCACCTTCAATCTCCACAGCTGCAGCCCTGAAACTATTTTAAATCGCTTAAAAATTAGGCCATCATGGGTTTTTATAAAACTGCTCACGTATTAGCCTCATATTTAAATTGCTTTCAAATTTTGCTGTTGTGCAGAGCCTCCAAATTTAGTCTGATATTAATCAAAGTCTGAGTTAACGATTATCCATTGACTAATTGTCTATAAAATGACAGAAATTAGGCTAATGAACAACGTCCATCTTGAGGCGAGGTCTTCTGATTTCATGTTTTGTCCAACCAACTGTCTAAACCCCAAATATATCCCGTTTAATGGCTTTAATATGCTAATCGTTGCACCTCTACATATGTAGATTTTATGGTGTCAAACTGGTCTGCCACCTTTTCTGGTGTAATTAGGAAATTGTTTCATGTTCAAACATCTGAAGAGGTGCTAAAGCACGGGCACTGGTTGCAGTCTTGCCAAACTGGTGCACAAGAGGAGACTGTGTTTTGGAGAAAACAGGGTTTTATTTCTACAGGGTAAACATATACAGGGTTTTAGCTACATTAAATATGGAGTAGCCTAACTTATAAATATGCACGTTACCAAAATGTTTCCACAAACTGGCGCTTAAAGGGCAAAAACAATAAACACTAAATTACTCGGCGGCTGACCTGCAGAATGGTTGGACAAATAATTTTTGAGCTTTTATTTTGTACATAGACAAGCATCCAAAAACAATGATTATTTAGTAGGATAAGTAGCCATATCGTGCAGGTTTTAAAATATCTTCAAAAGGTGAATATACCTTTCAATAATTTAGGGGGGAAGTCATACAGTTGTTCGCACGGGAATGAATGAATAAATAAATTGTCATCGTGGAGGTACAGGCTTGAATGCAGGACACAGACTGTAAATCCATACTTTCTCAGGGTTACGGGGTTTTAACGAAAAAAAAAACTTTCTAAAACTTTTTTTTGTTTGACTCAGCACCAAGAGGTTTGATATGATCCTCTCTGGAGCAGAATGAAGTTGCATTCTCAAAGAATATGTTCTCTTTTATTCCAGTTTTATATGCTATTGATTTGTATTATAGCCGACGCAGTACTTATTTTTATTTGTATCACTTAGAAATATATTTTAATCTTTGTAACAAGCAGCGTCTCTCTTCTTTTGTATGTGCTCATGTTTGGAAAAAAAAAGAAACACTCATTGTGTAAAAATTTTATATGTGGAAGTGTTTTGATAAAAATTAAAATTGTTTCAAATGCCGAAAGTGAAATTTCTCCCCCCCCGCACACACACACACAGACACACAATCTCTGCATTTTCAGACGGCAGTTAACCGAAGGATAGATTAATTTTTCGGTGTTGGAGCGTGACTGGATGTTGAGATATGATCAGCGAAAGTAACGTAAAATTAATCTAAGCGTGGTTTATGAACGAAAGACGAGTTCATAATCTTCATTTTTGGTCCAAACAAATGAAACTGATACAATAATCTGTCAATATAAATCGTAACATAACTTTAATAGGGTGATCCTCTGTTCCATACACGATCTTTGTCACAGTTATATTTAACGGAGGGTCAAGCCACTTGATCTGAGCCAAGATAAATGTCTCGTGGTGTCTCAACTGAGATGTTTTGTAAATGTGATGATTTTCTCCGGTGGGGGGGCTTCAAATGTGCTAGAAATTATTCCGCAGACAAACGGTGATCCTTGACTTTTAACCATTAGAGCGATCGTTTGCTTCACTGCTGCCTCCAAAACAGACAGCCTCAAGGACCCAGTGCTTGAGGAAGCTTGCTCAAAATTGTACAGAAAAGCTTTAGTTTATTCGAGTCGCTGAACATGTTAAACTATGACAGCAGACTTTAATGTTGCCTGAAATGTCAGTCATCTTTGGTAAGAACACGGTAGACATCGCTGCCTGCATTACACACGAACTATCAACTCTCCGTAGCTCAAAATTCATTCTTAGCCATTCCAAAGATCTTATACAGGGTCTTAGGACATCTGTGCGCTTTTTACGCGCCGTTTACGCACAGCGCACATGGTGGACACGGGCCATTTTAGTTGCTGGTTCTCTCTTGGTGCGCGCATTTGAATGTGTTTGGTCAGATGTAAGGGAAATGAGCGCTGAGAGCCATTAATTGGTGGCTTCCGGCCGAGACGCGGTTAAAGGTGCAGGAAAGGCACATGATGGAGGTCCACAACAGGGGTGACCGGTCAGGCCAACAAATGTCGCATGTAATGCTCTGAATGCCTGCAATTTTAGACGATATCCAAAGAGAACTTAATTGGGGCTGCTTCGCTCTATTGTGGCAAAGCGCTCACAGTAAACCATGCACAATGTCAAAGTATAAATCTGGAATTTAATATGGGTGTACGGTCCCATTCTGTGAACATACGTGACAGACATGGATAGTGCATGCTTCTAAGTATAGCCTACACACATTAAAAATATACCTGCATATACTAATGGGTGACATTTTACTTAAATTTAAATAGGCAAAAATATTAGTCTATTAATAAACTTGAACAGTGCCTACAAGATTGTCAGTGTGAAAAACATGCTATATTTCTTCTTATGAATGTCGTTTGAACTAAACAGCCTACAAACGCTGCCTTTATAATGTACAATAAAAACATTGCATATTTTATATTCCCGGCGTTGTTTGCACTCGGTGGGCGTTATGCATGTGTAGCAAACAAACCTACCTTTCTGCAATGAATATTGTGAAGCAAGGACTCCCCCGAGTGGTCGCACTAAACACTGCAGCCTGAAAGTAGAAATCAAATAAAACTTTGCTGTAAAAACTCTAAAATTCCAGACGTATGTCAGATCACTGTGACACATTCTCAAGGAAATATCTTTGAATCGTCAATCAGCCTTCTGTATAAGCAACATGTGTGATGCATACGATTATTAGATGGACATTGAGTTAGAGTGCCGTGGACGCTGACAGACCGGAACGAAAAATGGGAGTTACGTTTACTCCGTCGGAGAATAATTGCGGGCGGACCCGTCGGTCACAGCAGAACTTGTCCTTAGACAGTGGAATTGACCTATTCTCCTTTTATAAATATTACTTAACAGTTAGGATAATATAACACAACTATGTCTCTTGCTGCAGAGGCTTTCGTATCACAGATGGCAGGTAACGTGTTGGCTTTGCCCAGTATTGCTATTAATGTTTATTTAGCTCATTTTAGCCGGCTAGCTAACATTGGCTAAGGTTGACAACATGTCCTTACATCATTGGTTTATTACATATAAGTGACCACTGTCGTTTAAGAAGGCAGGGCTTTTCAATTATAACTTTAACAACGAATGTTCTTGCCCTGGGCCACCTGTTTATGTCTTTGGGGGAGCTTGTTTGGCCTAGCTCTGATACAGGACTGTCACAATAGCATTAATGTTAAAAAATACCAACCGAATGGAGAACAATTATGTAAAGCAGGAACAGTTCAGGACGATTCACGTTAATGACAGGCTGTGTGTCGACTTACAAAAGCACGACTGGTTCTAGAAAAATGCGAAACTACATCCAACAACCAACCTAACAGCCCAGATGGCTAATGTTAATGTCGTCTTTCTCGTGTCTACCCGTGTGTGACTTGCAGTTTTTCTACATAACTTTTCTCACGACTGCTACTAGTGGCCTGAAACGGTATTTCAACAATAATAATAATGTGTAACCGTACGCGGTTGTAATATAATTTTCAGCCATTACGGGCAGTAGTGAGCGCTGGGATACTGATCAGCACTTCATTTAATGAGAGAAGAAAAAGCTGTGCCATTTTAAAATTTACACGGGTCCATTGAATTTTTTTTTGTAAATCACCTGCACTCCAACATAATAATTAATTATTTTTTTTTTTGTTATTGTACCTACGCCTGTCAGCGTGAATCTCCCGGAAATGTTGCTGACAGGTTAGTCTGTTTTCGGAATGGTTCGTTTATTCGGTAATTGTCCGGTAAGCAATTTATTTAACCCTAAAAATCAGAAGTTCGCCTTCATCACGTCTAAAGTAAACGCGAGGATACACAGCAGTGTGCGGGTCTCCTTTAGCGCACAGTTACATTAACTGATAAGGAATTGTTGCATGGTAAACTCTCTAAATTGCCCGTAGGAGTGCTTGTGTGTGTGCGTGGTTGTTCGTCTGTGTGTTGGCCCTGCGATGGGCTGGCGACCTGTCCAGGGTGTACCCTGCCTTTCGCCCGTAGCTGGCTGGGATTGGCTCCAGCCCCCCGTGACCCCGTTTGGGACTAAGCGGTTTGGAAACTGGTTGGTTGGTTAAACTGGGGAAATGTTATTTATTGAATTCGTGATTGTAAAAAGCTAACTTGTCACTTTATACCTTTGTATCTCACTGACAGCTGCTGAGCCTTGGCCTGAAAATGCAACCTTGTACCAACCACTGACAGGTAAGTCTCTTTTTTTATTATTTCTTTTTTTTTTAGTGAAGGAACAAGATCTGTCACTACAGAAATGAGTCTGTTAAATGTAGTTGCTTGCATGTTGTCTTTACAGAGGATCAGATCCTGCTGTCAGACTGCGCCTCATCTCTGGCTGTTCAGGTTGAGTTCTGTTTGTGTGTGTTCTCAGCAGATATGAACATTTATGGTACTGTGCAAAAGAGTTTTTAGCACTAAAAATAAAGTGGGAATGTTTTCAAAAACAATGCCTTGAGTATTTTTTGTTATGAATTAAGTTTATACAAGGTCCAATAAACAGAATACCCTAAGTCAAATCAGCGGTGTGACCAGCATTTAAAATGGCACTCGTTGTCCTTTGTATGCCTGCATGCAGTTTTCCCAGGCACTCAGCAGTTTGATTGTACCAAGCTTCTTGGAGAACTGACCAAAGTCCTTTTGTGTCCTTCTACATGTAATCTCAGACTAAGATGGGGAGTCTGTGGGGGCAAGTTCATTTTTTTGCAGGACTTCTTGTTCTTCTTGTCACTAAGAGAGTTATTTCTGGCTCTGGCTGTGTTTGGGGTTGTCATTGTCATGTATTGGAATGAATCTGGAAGCAATCAGGCACCTCCCTGAGAATCTACACATTTAAAGTACATACAATTTTGCCATCATCTAAAGGATGACTGCTGGATGGATCATCAGCATTACCATCGTTTTTTCTTTTGTTGATTGAGTTTCCTCTGAATAGTTCCAGCACTATCTTATTTCTCTCATGTGCAGGCCTATCTCAGGATGTGTGGTCTACCTGTGCAGGTGGTGTCCAGAGCAAATGCTGAATACATGTCACCTTCTGGTCAGTACAGATTCTGCTGCAGTTTAAGACATCTCTTGTTCAAAAGTGTTCAGCTAATCAGTTTGTTTGTTTTTATTGAGCATTCAGTGTTATAAGTTTTACATTATGTCGACATGGCCTGACCCAGATTGTTTGCAGGTTTGACTTTAGGTTCTGGGACCTTCTTATGGATGATCTCTTGGCCTTTTGTGGTTTGTGATTATAGGCATTTCAAAAGTGACTGTAATGATTTCTGATGAAGTACCTTTTTGTGCGTCTGTGTGTAGGTAAGATTCCCTTTATCCATGTAGGGAACCAGGTAGTGTCAGAACTTGGGCCAATTGTCCAGTTTACCAAAGCTAAGGTGAGTAACACATGAAGTGATGTTTCAGTTCTTATTTAACTTGTTACTGCCTGCTTATTGTTCAAAGATGTGTTAATAAATGTAGTATTGTTACTCATTTGATGACTTGTGGTCTGTGAGTGTGTTTATTTTTGAGGGAAAACCGAATTCACCCAAGATGAGGGGCAAAGTAATTTTCTCTCTTTGTGTTTTTGGGTTTTGAGGGTCACTCTTTGAGTGATGGCTTAGATGATGTTCAGCGAGCTGAAATGAAAGCATACATGGAGCTGGTCAACAATATGCTGCTTACTGCTGAGGTACACACACTGCCACTGACTGAAAACTAGTTAGACACAGTTATTATCAATGTTTATGGCTCAAACCTCTCATTCAAGCCTCCTGTCCTCTCCACAGTTGTATATCCAGTGGTGTGATGATGCTACAGCTGCAGAGGTGTGTCTTCAGATAAAAATAGAAGATTTGGCTGCGGTTATTCTTTAATTCTTCATCATACATATGTGTTTTGTGTAGATTTCTCGTCCCAGATACAGCAGTCCATACTCATGGCCTCTCAGTAACATCCTCGCTTATCAGAAGCAGTGGGAGGTTCGCAGGAAGATGAACGCCATCGGCTGGGGAGGAAAAACCCTGGAGCAGGTTAAAAACCACCAATCAAATGAATGTCTTGCAAAATGATGACACGGATTGAGAAAAAAAAAAACATAACAAAATGCCATCCTTGTGTTTCAGGTTTATGAAGATGTGAGTCAGTGCTGTCAGGCTCTTTCTCAGAGGCTGGGAACTCAACCATACTTCTTTAATAAACAGTATGTAATGTGTCTCCTTGACTGATGCCCGTCTAGTCTGTTTTGTTTTTCTGTCTGTTGTTGCAGATGAAAGTACAAACAGAATACTTCATTTTTCAGTGGCTTGCAGACTGTGCTCTCTCTGAGGTCCAAGCTAAAGGAGAACTAGTGTTTGGACAACTTGTGACATTTCCTGTTTAGCACCACCTTGTGGTGTAATGCTATAATTACCTGAAAGAACTTCTTTTTGTGCTTACTATGAAGATTTACAATGTATTAATGCCTTTAAACAGATGATTAAAACTGCAGCTGATGTCTGTAATATTGATTTCTTCAGTTCAGATTTCTCAGTTAAACCTGTGTAGAAGCAGAGGAGACTCAGTGTCAATATGGTGCATCACTAGTACAGGTTCCAACTGCATGGGAAGTTTTTGGAATATAATTAATGATCATTATGACTGAAAAACCTTGGTCACTGACACTATATGCATTATAACATCTTAAAAATAAATTGCACTTAGAAGTTACTAATTGAAGAATAGCATCCTTACCTTCTACTGTTGTCATGTGTCTGTGTGTGTTGTAGGCCTACAGAGTTGGATGCTTTGGTATTTGGTCACCTCTTCACTATTCTGACAACCAGACTGACCAACAGTGAGCTGGCAGAGAGGATCAAGAGCTACAGCAACCTGCTATCCTTCTGCAAGCGCATTGAACAAACCTACTTTGAAGATAAGAGCTCATGAAGGACTGAAAATAGTCTCTGCCCTCTCTTACTATACATTCTGTCTCTCATTCCTTCACTGTAGCACTGTGAGATGTGTGCCCATTCTCCATTCTTTTCTTTTTGATTCTGCTTGTAAATTGTTGCATGCTGCTAGAAGTCAAGATGAGCCAGTTTTTTTTTGTTTTTTTTAGCAAAATATGATTAAATAAACCAATTTCCTAGGAAAAATTATGAGAATATGAGAACACATTTGCTAGTCAGTCTGATCTGGGTGGATGTTTCCTGAGAAACAAGCATACTTATTTATTCACACTGTGCTTTTCCATCTCTTGCACTCTGTTCTAGTAGAATGGTCTCTACCTTTTCATATATTACAGTCCATTTACAAATGCCCTCAGAGAGGCAGGTATGGATTTGTCACAGCTGTTTGACATGGCTGAATTTTAGAAGGCTGCACTGCACTTGAACTGGGGTTGAGGTTAAATGGCCTCCTGGTTTTTCCCCTCCATGAACTGTAGAAGCTGGTAAGAATGTGAAAGTAATGTGAAAGTGTTGGTGTACCCTGTAAATCCAGAGCTTACATTTCTTCTGTACAAACATAGAAAGGTATGACCATGATGACGAAAAGGATTTGGTGTTTCCTTAGTTTTTCCATTGTTTTCTTTGAGAGAACGGAAAGTACCTACAAAAATCATTCACTCATTGTGTTCAACTTGTAATTTTTTGTCCTTCCTCTGTGCATATAGAAGGAGGTCAAAATATTAAAACCATCTCTGAAAATAATTCAGCCAAGTATTACACCACACACCCATGGTTGTGTGTGTCTCTGCCTCCAGGTCTCAGACAAGCTCAGTGGTAATGACTGACCATCTCTGATTGCCCTCCAGTTGAGCAGTTAGCACGTCTGTCTTCCAGGTTTCCTGTGAGGTCAGAGTTTGACCTTTGAACCTGTGAGACATGACATCATGAGTAATGACCTTTAACAACCAAACACGTCTCAGTTAGAGGTCAGAAGCTGGACAGCAGACACAAAGAGGAAACAGGAAGACTGATAGGTACATCTGACTAAAGAGGAAGAGAGAGAAATAAACAGGAAGACAGATAGGTACATCTGACTAAAGAGGAAGAGTCAAGTCAGATTTTATTTATATAACCCAGTATCGCTGTCTGTAGACCCTCACATCAGGAAGGAAAAACTCCACAAGAAAAAAAACATTAATGGAGTTTGAAAATGGAAGAAAACCCCACAAAGAGCAACAAAGTATTGATCTTTCTTCCTTAGCCATATGTGTAGTTTCAGACCACATGACCTGGAGTCTCAGATCACCAGGAGCCCTATAATTTGTACAGTAAAATATACCCTAAAAACACTTTTAAACAGGTATAGCTCATTGACATTAACAACCTCTTTTTTTAAGAGGAACATGGCCAAGGTGGCAGGTATCAAACAGGGCAATGCAACATCAAACAAACAATAGGCTACTAAAAACCAGGCAACAATGACTGAAGGCTTAAATGGAGGTTACAAAGATCAGGAGGTTACAAAACTGTTCAAAAGACTGAAATGAGCTGACAACCAATAAAGAAGTAATTGTCTTATTAAAAACATGCTCGAGCAATTTACACCACATTTCTGTGTTCTGGTGTTAATTTCTTGAGAGTCACAGAGTCGGGGTTTCCCTCTAGAGACCCCATTTTACCCTGAACAGTCCATAGAAATGTCTGCAGCCACAGCATTCTACCCTCCTCAGGGCTGTGGCTTTCCTGTGTGCAGCTGTAGACCCTGTTACAGCCCACCATGATTTGTAACTTATCTATTTTTTAACAAAGGTTAGGGTTAATCTGGCTTTCAACCAGAGTCAATGTGAGACAGCGAGTATGAAGCACTTGAATTAACTACAAATGTGTTCATGCTTTTTATCTCAACTAAGGGATGTTGAGGGCAACACCTCCGTTATTATCTTCAGGCCTTGTCATGTAGAAACACCCTCACCACCCACCTATATTATTTCAGCATGTTGAATTTTACTAAACACATTTATCAGATTAAGACAAACCTATTTATACATAAAACGTGCAGAAAGTGGGAGGATCGAGGAGTCAGAAGTTCATAATTGCTCAGATGTCCCATGGGTTCATTTCTGTGTATTTTCTCATTAATCAAATTATTTTCATAACCTTTACTTAAAAAAAAAAATTGCATTGACTAATTTTTGAGCACAGACTAATTCTGATCAAACTGTAATGGAAGGTGTCTTCCAGGAGGGGGCAGTATGGGGATAGAAAAGGATTTTGCAGAGACCTGTGGGTTTAGTGGTCATGATTATGGCAAAGCTGTAAGAAACTTAAACAAAGGAACAAAATGAAAATTTGTTTTATTTGTTGTTGTTGTGCAGTTTTGGACACATTTCATCTGACAAAACTGGGACAGTGTCTGAAAGTCTGTAAAAATTAAACATTTCACAGTGGCGCTGCTTTTAATATACTGTTCTTCAAAGCAGAAACAAACAAAAACTTAATTCTTTTTGTTTGTCAGTGTAGCTTAGAGCCCTAACTTTGTGTCTTTCTTCTTCTGACAGTAGTTAGGATTGAACTCTGTCACTGAACAAGGTGGGTGTCATTCAGTTTCTTGATACGTGTTCTTCATGATGCAACAAAACGCAAAAACACATTGAGGAATTTGAATGCGTTGACCCGTAGAGTGTGAATAATCATTTTAGTCATTCTGCTGTGTATTTCTTGTGGCAACGTATAATATACTACACAGACACAAGCAGGGTTTCACTTACACAGGTGGATACGCTGCTTTCTTTTCATTAACAGTTCAGCTATTAAAATGATAAATTAAAATCAGCTCATGATCATAACAGGTGTTAATGAATTACTTTTTGTTAGTATTAAAACAGAAAATATTTAATAACACTATAAAGGGAAACTGAATATGTGATAAGAAAATTTTAATTTGATTAAATCATGTTTGTAAATAACACTAATTGCTATCTATGAATTCTTACTGCGATTTAATCTTGTGTTTAGTGTTGGGCTCAGGCGGGTGTTTAGATAACATATACTGCACAGTCATTGAAAGGTCCTCATAAAGATATGAATAATGTGTGTGTGGGAGAGAGCGAGGGGGTGTTAAAATGCATAAAAAGAAGAGTTTCTTTGCATTCATGAGTGTGAACGTGCGTCTACATGTGCTGTGATGTGAAGTGTCAGATTAGACAATGTGACTGGAGGCTGATAATTACACAGCTTGATTATGAGAGTGAGTCATGATACATAATCTGGACTTTTTGAGAGAGAGAGAGAGAGAGCAAGAGAAGATTGTTTTTATTGGCTCTGGTGAGTGTGGGTGAGATGGTTTGCAAATGGTGAATATTTTCTAATTTGATAAAAATCAATGCAGTAAGTCTTCTCTGATGCTGTGACCTATTATATCTCGTTCACATAAACAGGATCAGCATGACTTCTCAGGTGTCAAAGCACAGGCACAGCTTTAGAGATTTGGAGGCCCCAGGCAGGCAGATTTCATCAAGGTTGAGCAACTGGACTTTGCAAAATGTGCCACGAGACAATCCCCCCACATTCACTGTGATTTACCACCACCCTGCCAAGGCTCAGTGCCATGATAGTGTTACAGGAAACCCTGCCCCTCTCCACCACATTACACAGTCATGGAATGAAAAACGAACTACATGCAGGCAGCTACTTTCAAAGCCAGCAAAGCCAAATGAGTGTGCCCACTGAAGGTTTCTGAATGCTCGACAAATTTCACTCATTCAGAAGAGAACAAAGAAAACGAGTTTTACTCAGTCTGTGAAAACATTGCTCAGACATCTTGTTTTCTGTGTCTCTGGGGGGAGCTTTCTAAAGTCTGAGGCTGTGTCCAAAATCACTCCCTTATCCACTCATTCACTACCCAGGGACACTTGCTATTCATCATCATTTTGCGTCAAAACTTCTTGGGAGCATTGCAGCATTGTTAGCAGCAAGTAGTGTTCATGCCATTGAAGCCAATTTTTTGTTCCTTTGTGCAATTTGTGAGCACACTGCGTGGTGGATAGGTTTAGACACTCAGCATTCAGACACCAGTACAAAATGGTGACCACAATAATAGGTGACTTCAGGCCCAGTCTGAGAAAACAGCCCAGGTGATGTCATCAGGAAATGAAAGATGCTAGCTCTGCTCTCCATTATGAGGAACGGGCTCCAGCGTTTTTGGAGAATGACCTGTACTACATGTCTATATCTTAAAGTGCCTTCACTTTATGGAAGTGCAGCAGTAAAAAGCTGGAGCATCCCTTTAATGCAAAATGATGAAAGAGAATAGATTTGTATCAGGTCCATGTTTAGGTTGAGTAGGACTCAGTAGGACCTACTTGTAGGCTCAGTTGGCTTGTGAGTTTGCCTGTGAGTTTATTATTCCTCCAACATCTTAATTTTTTTCCTCCATCATGTAGGAAGGTAATCATGCTTTTATGTAAGGAGAGTGGAATAAAGACATTAGCTATGTGATGATAATCCTCTCCTGCTCTCTTACAGATGAATACACACTAACATTTTGCTACGTCTCTCCTTTATGATTTTCACGTCTTGGCTAATCAACCATGATGTTTCTTGCAGCCGTGGTCTGCTTCATCCTTCACTGTTCATGCTGATAAACTTACTTTGCTGCAGCAGACCTAGTGTCAAAATGTACATGTTGAAAATGAAATATGTCTAAGATTCAGGAAAAGCTGCTGTTTACTTTAATAAGCTTGAACATTTTGAGGCTTCAGACTCTCATATATCCTCCTACTTTGCCTATAGTAATTCATAGTTTTACATACAGGTTACCTAATGGTTTATTTTCTGCCTGGTGTAGTAGGCGATATCAATTTACCATAAATGCTAAATGTTCTCTGCTCCCCCACAACTGACTGAGTTCTTTAGCATGGCATGTACAGGAAAATAATGCATTCAGTTTTTGTTAGGAGAGAAATGAAGCAACATGTCCACCCAGGTGTAGACAAGGTTCATACTGATATATGAGATAGAGAAAACGTAATATGTAATATCTTTTCTTATAAACATAAAGGGGCTGTAATATGTATATAGTATATCTTTTCTTATAAACATAAAGGGGCTGTAAGCCAATCCAGGCTGCATGTGCCAATATATAAATGTGTGTGTACAAATTAGGGACAGAAAAGTCAGAAACGTTGGATTTGAGCCCAGAGTCTGTGTTGGAAATCTTCCATCATAGCTGGAGGGCTTCAGTCCAAAACACTTTAAATCCATTTTGTAACTAAGTTGTTATCTGATGATTTTCTGTCAGTATTTGAAAAACTAGAATGTTCCTGCTTTGTAAGTCAGTAACTCAACTGATGATTTAGTTTTGTGGTCAAAACAGCAATTATTTTTCATCTTACAAAGAAGAAACTTGGTGTCATTTTTTGTCAGTGTGGTACATTTACATCTGTCTGTGTCTAGTTTACAACACTGCATATAAATGGAGATATACTGATGACTTTTAAGGATTTTTTAAAATCAGCTTTAATGCTTGCATTTATTTTCTGACAAGCCCAGAGAAGATGCAGACGGCTGCTTCTCCCCTCCTGCTGTTTGAGAGGTAATGTGTGACTTAATTAACCTACACAGCTGCTAGAAAGGAGGAGATGAACAATGGTATAGTGTTAAAATCCACTGTTTTGCTGATCCCCCCATCTTCGCTATGTGGACTCTGCTGCTCTGTAACAAAATCACCTGACTGCCTTCATTGCTCCCGTCTTAATCACTGTGGCATCTTCAGAGATTTATCACTTCAAACATGTGTCTGGGGCATTTTCTGAAAAAAACAAAAAACAAAACTGATGTAAATGTAACTATGGATCATAATAAGCTGCTTGTACAAACAACCTGGGGTTGTATTATTATGGGAGCACAGTCTCCTCTCATCACCAGCCTTCTGACTGATTGACAGAATGAAAGTTTAATCCATCTGAACTCACACTTCTGACCTTGTGCTTCAGCTTTAGGATGAAGAAACTCAGTGTGTTCTCATTTTTGGGTTTTTGAAAAGGGATTTCAATTGTTAGACTCAACAACATTTAAATTTGGTCAAGAAATGTAGTAGACAGTTATGTTTGTCAATACACATAATTCCCATTAATCCAATCTGGTAACACTGAGATGAGTGGGCTGATAACAACTCACAAAGACATAAAGAGTAACATGAAAGATGCAATATCACATGCATACAGAGGCTTAGCCTTTAAATATTTTGTTTATATAAGGAGGTTGGTGAGAGACTAATATAATCACATGCCAAACAGTCACTC